TGTCAATATCTGTCTAAAGTTTAATTAATTTTTTTTTTTAACGGAATTGGCTGCAATTTGATTTTTGAGGTTCTCATTGAGTAGAAAATCTTCCTAGCAAAAATTTTCTACATTGGTCCATTTTTTAGGATAGTCCCCATATAACGGTATCCCTAATTTTTCGATATTTTGCGGTGATTGGGCAGTTTTTTTTTCAACGGAATTGGCTGCAATTTGATATTTGAGGTTCTTATGGGTAGAAAATCTTCCTACCAAAAATTTTCTACATTGGTCATTTTTTTAGAATAGTCCCAATATAACGGTATCCCTAATTTTTCATTATTTTGTGGAGATTGGGCAATTTTCTCAACCGAATTGGTTGTGTAATTTGATATTTGAGGTTCTCATGGGGTAGAAAATCTTCCTACCAGAAATTGTCTACAACGGTCCATTTTTTTAGGTATCCCTAATTTTTCGATATTTTACGGAGATTGGGCACTTTTTTCAACCGAATTGGTTGTAATTTAAAATTTTGGATTCTCATTGGGTGATGAATCTTCGTAGCAAAAATTATCAATATTGGCATTCTTTTGAAGGTCAGCTCATATAACCGAACCTTCCAAATTTTCTGGAGATTGAGCATGTTTTTCATCTGATGATGCTGTTAATATCAAATAACAGGTTCTCTCTGGGTAATAAAACTTCCTACTAAAATTATCAAAATTGATTCATATGACAGTACCCCTCATATTTATAATTTGGAAAAAATTTCGAGAATTTGATAATTCTCTTTGATTGACAAACCTTCACACACAAAAAATGATCATAATTGGTTTACTTTTTAGGCTAGTCCCCATATAGAGGTATACCAAATTATTCGATATTTTCGGGAGATTGGGCAAGTTTTTCATCCGAATTGGCTTCTTCCTACCAAAAAATATCTATATTGGCCTACTTTTTAGGGTAGTCTCCATAAAAGGAAACCTTCCGAATTTCGATATTTTTGTCACTTTGGACATGTTTTTTTATCCGAATGGAAAACTACCCCACTAAAAATTATAAAATATAGGTCCACTTTTTACGCTAGCCCCCATAATGGAACCTTCCGAAATGCGGAATTTTGGGGAGTTTGGTCAGGTTTATCAATTGGCCGTAATTTATTAGGTTCTCATTTGGGAGTTAAATCTTCCTACCAAAAATGATCAAAATCGGTCTACATTTTGTTAAGAGTGCTGGTTGGCATAAAAAGGTCGGACCGGTCGAACAACGAATTTTTTTACTTCTTATAAAATTTCTTATATATATGTTTGTCATTGTCGATATGTTTAAGGTTCTAGCCGAAAATTTCCAACCTGAATGTGATGTCTATAGTTGGGTAATTCGTTTTCTGCTGTCAGCAGTTAACTATGGCATATTAACTCCATATAAAAGTTCCAATGCATTTTAGGTATTTTTAATGTCCAGGATATAAAAAAAGTTCGCGCCCAACTGAATTTAAAAAGGTTTTAGCTTTAATTTTTTTTTTAATCCTTGTATTTCGGACCACTGTGCAGCTGATGTGTTGTTATGGTCTCACCAGCCAGCAGCTGCAGCAACAGCAGCTTTTTTCTTAACATTCCATCTGTATTAATACCAATACTATCACCAGGCAGGCTGGCTGGCTAAACCGCCTGGTACTGCTGTGGTTGTTGTCGACTGCTGCCTGCCTGCCTGTCAGCTTTGTTGCTTTTGGCCAGTTTTTCTCCAGTTGTTCTCATTGTGATGGTGGTGCCCCGTTACCAAGCGATGCATTCTGCATTTTTCGCCTTTCCAATGTCACGTGGTATTATTGGGTAGCCGTGTATTTTATTCTTCTTCTTCTTCCATAGGGGAGATATGGAGACTGGCTAAAATAGCAGCAACAGCAGCAAATACAAACACACATACACACAAACAATAAATAGAGTGTAGCTGGAGGATGATAGATATGATGTATGGTATGGTAGCTGCCTGGCTATCTGGGAATATTTTTTGGAGGGGAGAAGCGCATATTCCGATTTTTTATTGATTTTAATTGTTTGTTGCATTCATTTGCTCTACAATAAAACATCACTACATACCCACCCCACCGCCAGCTCATATTCACAAGGTACTAAACGCTCAATGTCCCATGTTCCAAAAAAACCCATCTATGATTAACTAATTTCCACCTGATTTTGTTTTTGGTTTGAGATAAATAATTCAATTAAAACAATAGCACAGCAACAAATAAAGAGATTTACAATACTTTTTCAACTTTTTCTTGGCTTGTTAAATTCCCTCTATTTCTACTTCCCCCACCTATAACGTTGTTTTTTTAATTGCTTGCCTCTCATACAATTTCATCAACATGTTTTTTTTTCTTCTTTCTTTTTATATATGGCACTTTAGCTGGGAAGGGGGGAAACTGGAATTCATTAGCCCTTTTGTGAATATAGCCGAACGAACAGTTTGAACAGCATTGCCAGATTCAATGCAGTAATATAGCCGCGACATAGCAAGAGCGCATGTTTATCTCAGAGAATAATAAATGACAAATCTCATAGTATCTCTTCACGTTTCACCTTTCATGTAAACAGATAGGGTTGCCAGAGTTGTGTTTTAAAAACAAGTGCCCAAAATGGGAACTCATAAAAAGTGTCAATAATTAAAAATATACCGAAAATTGAAATAACTTCAAATAAAGGTGGTCAAATATTCATAATTGTTTGCACAGAGAATTAAAAAAAAGAAGATTTACCACTCAATTATAATTCAAAATATAATAGTACGTTTACATTTAACCGGATTTCGTTAACCCAGTGGGTTTCAATTGTCAATTCCTTTGCATATACGTCAAATAAATCCTCATAAAGTAGGTTAACCCGGTAAAAAGTTCTAATGTACAAGGAGTTTAAAATTAAATTCAACTCAGTCAAAAAGTTTTTTTGAGGTTATATCTATAGATCTGCCAATATTGTCATTAAATGAGAACTTATAGTACGTTTACATATAACTGGATCTCGTTAATCCAATTGTCAATTTCTTTGCATATACGTCAAATAAATCCTCATAAAGTAGGTTAACCCGGTAAAAAGTTCTAATGTATATGCCGTTTTAACCCCTCTGTGGCCACAGGCAACAAAATGTTTTAGAGCTTATATTAAATATACAGCTAGTAGATATATATATTATTTGATTGGATATGTCAAGACATGTTTATGGACGACACATATCAAAAGAAAAATCTAAAAAATCGAATTGTCAAGTTATGTGCTTTCCAATATAAAGAAAATGCGTACAGTATCAAGTTGTGTATACAGTCCTATTCTATTCGAATTGAACCCTCAAAATTATTTTTTATATCTGTAACAGTATGTTTACATTTAACCGGATTTCGTTAACCCAGTGGGTTTCAATTGTCAATTCCTTTGCATATATGTCAAATAAATCCTCACAAAGTAGGTTAACCCGGTAAAAAGTTCTAATGTATATTTTTTTAATGTTTAAGCCTAAAAAGTTATTTCAGTGATTTGTTTGCTTTTTTTGGAATATCGGACATTTATTTCAAAAAAAAAAAAAAAAAATCTCCGAAATGCAATGATATAGCGGATATTTCATGTATATCCTATTTAGGATACTTGCATTAAATATGTGCACAGAAAAGCTTTCTATTATCGCAAAAAAAAAATCGTTGCTCAAGGTATTTAAATAACAAATTTCAACAAATCCGAAAAGACGCATTCGCAATTTTTAACAATGAATGCACGCATTTTTAATGTTTCCATTGTAAAAAATTGCGGATGCGTCTTTTTGAACACCTGTTCCTACACGAAGGAGTTGCCAGATCGAAACAAAATGTAACATGTGTTCTGAAGGAACAACCTACACAAGTTGAAGTAATTCATTTTCCCCCGTGGTGTAAAGTTTTCTCAAGGAAATGTACGTTGCATTGCGGATTAAGAAAGAGTTAATTTTGATTTAATTTTGTCGGAAAGAGTTAATTTTGAGACCATTGGTGTACACAACAATTCATATACTACAATCCAGTGCCAACTGAAGTAGGATTATTTTGCATATATTCACAGAGTATGTCCTTTTAGGCTTAAGAGACCTATTCAGTCATAATCCAGAATTAGTTCACAAATCGTTTACCGTGTGTTTCTTATTGGCAAAGGGAAATCCCGACGGCTGACGTTCGCGTCTAGCTGCTTGACGCTAGAAAAGATTTTATTCATTTTTGCTCAGCGTCATACTCAAATGTTCTCTCTTGCTCTCAATTGAGTTGCCATATTTTACATAAAAATCAATAGTGCCAACAACATTTCAATGGAAAAACAAATATTTCCAAAGATTGTGGACGTTTTTTTAACGAATTAGTAATAAAATGGAAGAAAGAAAACAAAATAAAAGTTCCTTGACATTATTGTTTATTAAATAATAAATTGTATTTGGTTTGCACAACGAAAAAATATTCTGTCAGAAAATGAAAACAAATAATTGACATTGTGTGCCGCTAACTCTTTTGTTTGGTTTTTCACGCCTGCGAAAAATTATGCCGCTGACTCCTGTCTCTCTGGTTGTGTTTAGACTCTAATGTTGCTTCTCTTCATATGCGATATGATTTTGAGGACATGACACCACTCACATTGGTCATGTAGTCATGCTCCTCGGAAATCCATACTGACGTCCTAGTACCAGTGTTGTAAAATCACGTATAGGATCCAATATACTTAATACTATTCGATATTCAGAGTATGGTATTAATGTTATCTAAAGTTGGTAACCCTATTGCACATAATCTCTGTATCTCTCTCTGCTCACAATCCACGGTGTTATCTCTTTATTTAACTTACAAGAGTAGGAGTGCAAAGTATCTGAGTATCTTCGTTGTTGCTGCTGGTACTTGGAACCGTATTTTTTAGTTGCTAACCATAGTTTTTTTCTTCAGATACTTTTGTTGAATAGTTCTAGTACTCAGAGAGAGAGAGAGAGAGAGTATGCCCACAAATCTCTCTCAATTCAATTGCGACGAAGAAGAAAAAAATCTACTGAGTTCTTGTGTCGCCTTTAGTCGTTTGTCTTCGTTGTGTTGGTTGTAGTCGTCGTCGTCATTTCAATTGAAGCAAAAGTAAGTAAAAATTTTCCAATTTTTTCTCACTTGCCAGCCTGCCTGTGGTGGCCCATATGAACTAAAAGGGGAAAAAAGTAAAGAAAAAAACGAATTTCAAATTGAAAAAAAATGTGTTGAAATTTGCAAAATGACAAATTTTGTAAAATTAATTAAATGTGAAAAAGAGAATGAAATGAACAGCAACTAACGGAATAAAGTGAAAACTAGAAAAAAATTTCAAGATTTTTTTTTCGCTAAGAAAAAAATATATGCCTCCACCTTTACACTAGCCTAGTGACTACACTGGCAACTCGTCGTCGTTTACGTCGTTGTCATCGTCGGCCGATCGATAAAAATACTACGCAAAAAATTTTTTCATGGTTGTAAAGAAAAAAAAAACTTCAGATATGTATGTGCACGCTTTTTCAAAGCCGTTTTAAATTCAATTTGAAACAAAAACAAATGTGTATTGAAAAATAATTAAAGTTTTTTAAATGATTTTTTTAAATTCATTCTAAAATTCTGAAAATGTGACTATCCATAGAATGAAAAAATCGTATATTGTATATGTATTGTGTGTGTGTGTGTAAATGTGTTTTTTAGATGTATGTGTACATGGTGGGGACCATTATACAGTGTGCGTTATGCGGTGGGTGTGTGTGCGTACTTTTTTCACAAAACGAATCGAAAAAAAATTATCCGCCGTTCAACGTCTTTTTTTTACATTATATGACATTCAGCGCAAATTCATTGTTTTTTTATTCTTCTTGGCCGTCGTTTAAGATATATTTTTTGTTGTATCTGTGTGTGTGCGGGTTTATTTCTATATTCCTTCATCAAAGTGTGTGTGCGTGTGTGTGGATTCTTTACTTTATTTCCAAATTGCTCTGTGGGATATTAGTTTTTGAAGAAAAAAATGTGGGTATACTATGTTGCCATATTTATATTTGGTTAACTCTGTCAATTTTTGCCTACAATTTAGAAGTTCATTCGTTTTAAACAAACAACCAAGAAGAAGAACATGCGACGAACCAAACCCCCCAACACTTGTGTGAAACATTAATGCAGTATTATTAATCATTCACAATGCCAAACGGTGCTGGAAACCCTGTTTAAATAAAATGTGCACACACAATTACACTTTTCCCAACAGTTGGCAACTCTGTTGCAAGTATCTGTGTGTCGTTCGTTTGGTCGGTCGTCGTCATGTATAGGTATTTTACTTATTTCGTTTGTGTGTTTGTATGACAGCAGCACACTTGCACGTACTTTATTTTCGCGCATGCTTTTTTCGTCTAATACACATTGAAACACATTCTTTCTTGTTCGTCGCCGCAGTCGTTGTTGACTTTTTTCTTTGGTTAGTATTTTCTCTTGGTGTTGATTATCGAGCTCTCTCTCTCCCATTTGTCATTGGGTGTAGTAACTGAATTTTTGCATATCTCATATGGATAATACTCTTGCTCTCATTGATTTGTCATTTGTTTTTTTTTTATTTTCATTTTTCTGGCACTTTTTGACATAGAATCCGTTAACAAAAAAATTAAAAGATATCTTTCTTCTATATTCCTAACGTTTTCCGTTTTTAAACATGTTTGTCATGCGAAAGCTATTTCTCATTCGTTCTTTTCTTCTTTACAATATTCCGCTATAACCCCATAACTCACACTAACACACACACTCTCTCGCATTGATGATAAACTCGTTGAAAAGTATGATAGCAGCTCATATATTGTGTGTCAAACCATGACGCATTTTCCAACTATTCGCTATTTCTTTTTAAAAAAAAATATGGAAAGGGAGTGGTTGGTTAAACAAAAAAGAGAACGTACGCGTTTGGTTATGCTCTTTTTTCTTTGGTCCTCGTTTTGTTGTTATTTTTGCAAATAAATGACAATTTGCAAAAGAAATTCGCAATGAATGACACACCACACACCGTTTACAAGCCGTGTTCACATGGTATGACATTCTTTAAGTGGTTTTGCAATTGACCCAAAAAAAATGCGGCGCCAAAATTTCTCTGATGTCATTTTTTCTGTTTGCTTATTCGTCTTGACGGCAAAAATCAACTGTCAAAATGTAAGAAGAGCGAGAGAGAGAAATAGATGATCAAAGCCGGCAATAACTGCAATGCAACACATAATATTGTTGCCACATTGCTTAGAAAACAAAATGCAATATGTAAAAAAATGTTTGCAAAGGGGTTAGAGGAGGAAAGGGAGGGGGGAGGATGATAGTGTACAATTCAATAATGCTAATTAATAACTAATTAATCTATTTTTTTCATATCAATATCAAATAATATTTTTGTTTACCAAAATATTTTCATCAATTAAAAGAGCAAAAAATAGAAGATCAATGCCGCCGGCAATAACTGCAATGCAGCATTTTAATATTGCCACATTGTTAGAAAAATTCAATACGCAAAAGAGAATCCAATGGGGGAGAGGAGAGGATAGTTCAGAACAAGAAAACAAATCTATTTTAAAATCAATATCAAATTATATTCTGTTTACCAATTATTTGTTCATTTAAATTAACCGGTTATTGTTTGGCTTGAAATCCTCACCTTGGGACTTGAGAGGGGCAGCATAACATTTTGCTGCTGCACATGTGTGTAGTTGTTGTAAACATTGAGAATGTGTTGTAACATGACTTGGGATTTTTAATGGGGTTTTCCCTTTTTCCTGAGATCACTAATGCATTTCGGCAAAAGATCCCTCTCTCTCCTCCTACACCCTTTACTTCTGCGAAAATCCATTCATTCATTCTTGTTGGTTAAATTTATGACATTCTCTTTCTCTTTTTTGTTCTTCTTTTTGTTTGTCTACACACACACATGCATACGAAAATAATTTATTTTTAACATTCCCCAATCAGATATATATATATCTACTTGTTCATTTTGTACGCTGTGTGTTTTGTCCGCCAATTCATGAGTTTTTTTTTGTTTTTGCTTTTATATGATTTCTTTTTTTTTTAATTTTTTTCTTATTATTGGCCGCCCCGCATTGTCTGTCGAACTTACCAGAAATACCTATGAATGTACCACCACCAATCATTCATCCATCAACATTTTGAATGTGTGTGTGTTTGTTTATCTTCTTGTAAGAATATTTTCTCAATACAGGAGATGATCATTATCTGATAATTTTTATTATTTTCTGTTCAGTTTTGTTAATCATTTATTATTTATTGACTAAGACCCCCCCACTTCATCATCTTCCCTTTGATCAGGAGGGTGCATTCTTTTCTTTTTGATTCTTAATTTTTAATATTTGAATGTATAAATTGATTCCTTGCACGATATATGCAATCATGTGAACCCCTCTAATAACAATGACAATGTAAATGATCACAATACACATTGTTTACACATGATTAATTAATGCACGCAACTAATTTTACGTGCTACTTTTGGCAATATTGTTAGAAAATCTGCAAAACAAATGTAACATGGAATGATAGTGATTTATAGGTCGACATTTATACTATTTTAATGAGTTTAATTATCGTAAAAGTACATTTACTATACAATTACCACTGAAATGTTTTTGCAATAATGTGATCGTTTGAAAAGTAAAAAAAAAAACATCTTTGATTTTTGGCAACCGTTAAATATATAAACAAACAACATGAGAAAACAGTTGCAAAATGTTGGTACATTATGAGAGAGTTGCATATTTTCGTAAAAAAAACAGCGTTGCATTACATTAGTATCATGATTTCGATCATGATTTAAAATAAACCCTGCTGCACGATGATTTAAATTTGTATGATAAGTCATGGTAAATTCAGCCTGATTAAGAAAATAATCCCTGATTCAGCCTTTAAACCTGATTAAATGTTATATGTAAATCCGCTTTCACATTTTTATTATAAATCGTGGTGAATTCAGCCTGATTAAGAAAAAACCCCTGATTCAGCCATTAATTATGATACATTGTTATATGTAAGTTCGCTTTTATGTTGACATTTTAATTATATTTTTCGGTATATAATTGAACCTGTGACATTTCCTGTTCGTTATTCAAGAAAATATTTATGGTTATTAGATTCTCCATAATCGACAAACACAGCTGACAGTTCAAACTGTTTGTGTGAACTTGCCTTTAGGATGTTAACATGCCACAAATGTGGTAAACAGCTGATCTGCCGGTGCGAGCTTTCAAATAGGCAATGACAAAGAAGTGCGTTCAAAAAATCGTTTGTTGTATTAATATGCCTTCTCTCGATCTATCAGCTAATCAAGCTATGTATTCACCTCGATTTACCCTGCGAAATTAAATCAAGATATCTTTTTCAAAAAATCAATTGAAATGATTTCTCAAATACTGTCAGCTGTGTTCTCAAATACAACTTTGTATTGACACTATTATTTGTTTACATTAATCTTTAAAATAGTTGATTAGCTTCAAAATGCTTGCATTTTCTTGAGTGAAAGGAGCAGGACGACGATGTCTGAAATATATTCTATGGAAAATAGTTGATTAGCTTCAAAATGCTTGCATTTTCTTGAGTGAAAGGAGCAGGACGACGATGTCTGAAATATATTCTATGGAAATATACATTTTTATTTTAGTTAAACATTCTCAATATTTTTCAATTTTGAACAATTTTTTTAATATTTAATAAAACCAACCCAAACAAAAAGTTTTAAATTATGTGGTTGAGGAAATTTCCGTAGATTGTTTAAGAGAAAAATACCCATCACACCAAATTAAGTAAACAACAACAAAGTTTTTGTGTAAACCCACCACAAGTAAAACAAATTAAAAAAAGTTTTTTTTTTAATTTTTGTTTATTTTGGGTTGTGTGGTTGGAGTTTGCTTCTTTCGATTAATATTGATGACTGATGCTTTGGGGGTTTTTTCTCGTATATTCCCACTCCAAAACTCCAATAAGAATGATTTGTTGAGTGTGTGATGGGTAGAGAGAAACAAGTTGGAACGTTTGATAGACCAATATTTTTCATACATACTAAAGTTTGTCGATTTTTTTCTTCATAAGTGATTATA